AAAAAAAAAAGAAAAAAAAGGTTCCCCACATCTTTTCCTCCTGCCAGGATAATACTAGTAGTCATCATAGTAATATCAGTAACAATATGGTATTAATAGCAAAGACCTAGAAAGTGCTTAATAAGTCAGGAACTGCTCTAGCACTTCACATATATTAATTCGTACAGTCCTCAAGAGAGCCATACAAGATCACGTTGTTATTCTTCTTTTATAGATGAGGCAAAGAGAGGTAAATACCTTGAATAAAGTCCCATATGTAGAAAAGAGTGGTGTCAAGATCCAAACCTGAACTGCCTGGGTCCCAAGACTGTCTTCTCAACTACCACGCTATTTTACTTACAATGAATGTCCAACTTCTCATTTTATCATCACTGGGGTTTACTGATTCACTTAAATGTATTTTGTATCAGTTTAGCACCAACTCTAGTCTACTGCTTTCCTTCATTTGTCCTATCCAAGAATCTATTATTATATCTCTTTCTGATAAAGTACTGCAAACAGCCATTTATCCTTGCAATAAAATGGAACTACATTCATCAATGTCCAATATAATACATTGCTCACAACTCAGAAAATGTATTTTGAATTACATTAAATAATTTATCATTACATCTTCTGATTTAGTAACCAAATCAGTTTTTGTTAATTTGTTATTTGTTCCAAATAACAAATTAAAAAAAATCTATGTATGTATTAATGAATGCATGTATATGTATATATAGATTAAATAATGCATTTTTTGCCCAGAGGTGGTAATACTTCCACCATTCAAGGTTTTGAACGACAGTATGTTTATATTGTTTTATACTCTAGAGTGCACACCCTTTACATAATCTGTGTAACTGATATTTTCTACAGGTATCACCTGTTGGATCTGTGTAGTTACTGTAGATAGAACTAGTGTTCTGATTGATATAATTAACACAAACAAAAGATTAAAGAAAACATTGTACCACTAATTATGTGACTAACAGATTAAATGGAAGAAGTCACAAAGGTTTATTGATATACAGCATGGGAAAATGTAGCATCTTTTAAACACAATACCTTCTCCAAGTTAGTTAGGTAAAGAAGCTGCCCAAGTTTTTTCTGAAGCTGTGAAGTAGCAACAGCTTTATCATTTAGTAGTTTTATGCGATTTTGTTCTACCTAAAAAACAAAACAACACAACTTTTTATTCTCTCTCTTAGAAAGATGGTAAAATTATATTAAACATGTAAAATTCTTCCTCAATAATTTAACTGTGTCCTTTTTAAAGAAAACCCATTGACATGTGAAGACTCAAATTTGCAAAATGGATAGTAGGTATTTTAAAGGAAACATATACCCACATGGCTCTATAGAAGATAAAACTCAATACAAAATTCTTTTAAACAGGAAGTTTCCCTATATACTTGAAATTGGATAAAAATCAACCCAAATTCTATTTATGTACACTTTCAGTAATATATCCATGGGATAAAGAAAAACTAAATGATCTGCTGATTTTATAAGCACTCTCCCTTCACATGCACACACTCACACCTACACCCAAACCCCTTCCCTCCTCTGCCCAGTAGAAAATAGTAGACAGATTATAAAACGAGGAATTTGGTTACACAGGAAAAAATTACTGAAAATTCATACTTTAAAAGTTGAGATAGTATAAAATGAGTATTTTTAAATTTTTCTAAGGTAAAGTTTCCAAGCTTTATAAGAAAGAAAAAGATTTAAAAGTTAAAACACATAGAGGCGCCTGAGTGGATCAATCGGTTAAGTGTCCGACTCTTGATCTCAGCTCAGGTCTTGATCTAGGGGTCATGAGTTCAAGCCCCTGTGCTGGGCTCCATGCTGGGCATGGAGCCTACTTAAAACAAAACAAAACAAAACAAAACAAGAACAAAAAAACCCTCACACACAAGGAATAAAACTATAAAGGAAATTATATTTTAATATGGGAGATAAAAGGTTGGGAGAGTCATTTTTTAATCCTGGGATATAAAGAGGGATTTATTAGAAGATAAGTTGTCAATATCTGTTCATCAGTAGCAAAGGAAAAGTGCAAAAGAAAAGTTTTTGATTGTTCTTAGGGAAGGTAAGAACAATCAAAAACTTTTCTTTTGCACTTTTCCTTTGAAAAAATGGAGCTTGTAAGAAGGACATATGTCTAAAAACTGACTGAGACACCCTTTAGATTTTGGCATACAGAAGGTACTCAGAAACACATGAATATGCAATCTGAAGAGAAACAAATGAACCAAAACAGTGAATTCTATGCATGTATTAGATATGACATTGTTCATCCCTGTCCATTTTGACGTATAAAACCAAACACTTTTATATGGCTTAAACTAAGAGCAGAGATTAGTAAGTACATTCTTATGGAAGAGATCACTGTCTTGACTTTTCTATGGACCTTGGATTTTTGTGACACCTATTGGCTGTGTTTTTTGTGATTTACTTGCAAATTACCTCGTGTGGTTCAATGATATGAAGAACAGGTGGATTGGGCTTTGGCTCCCTAGGATGACGCACTCTTAGTCGTTCTGTAGCCATTGCAAGTTCATCAATAGCAGACACACGATTCCTCAAAGCCATCCAATACTCATGAAGCAACTAGGAAAACAGAAAACACAAAAACAGTGGTAATTAATGCACAGAATTAAAACGGTTAAAACCACCGAAATGTGTCATGATCAAAAGTCTTCAGTGCAGTCTAAGATATACACATTTTTTTCAGTAAGTGTCTAAGACATAAGCAATTTTGGGGCCATTTTTTAGGATGAAGATGTAAGACTGAATAACCTCTACAGGCCACTGCAGAATATTGCACCTTTAGATTCTTAGAACAGAACACCCGAAGATATTTTGGTGGGACCACAGATCTTTATAGGTCAATATTAGCCTGTGGAATCTCTGCTTTGTTTTTTTAAGAAATATTCTTTATTATAAAATATTTCACATTTTCAAAATAATTATGTATATATGATAATGAGAATACTAAAATATACAACTGAGTACTCAACATCCAATTTAAGAAAGAGAACAAAACCAATGCCTTGGAAAGTCTGTGTTCCTGGCTCAACTGCATCCCTCTTTCCTCACACATTCTTCCTTCAACCCCCTACAATGGACTAATCACTATTCTGAATTGGACTTAATTCTGTATTTTTCATTTAGTTATACTAATCTATACATTCTTAATAATTTGGTTATATATGTTTCTGAAACTTATGGAAATATTATCAGTCAGTATGAAATCTTTGATATGCTTTCTTCACTAACTTTATGCTCTGAGGTAGACCCCAACTGATGTGTGTAACAGTGGCTTGTTAATTTGCATTGCTGTGTAAGAGTTCAGTCTGCAATGTTATAGAGAAAAAAATTCACAAAGATCTGAGAAAACTTCATGATAGGCAATCCTGAGACATAGTATGTCGTCAAAATATGCCCAGAGGAAAAATGCAGGGGCAACTGGACACTGTATATAGTACTGTCTTCCAATCGCTTGCTGTAATTATGTGTAAATGTGCGTCTGCATTTAGAATAACAATGTGAGAAGAAAAAAATTATTATGAATCAATGATTTCAACTACAAAAGTATTATTCCCCAATTTATCAAACATATGAAATGATATTATAGATAGCATATTTTCTTTTTCTGGATAGAAATTTTTATCTTGCTTTGAAAGTCAAGAACTTCAGATTTTTAAAAAAGATATAAATGGAATTACAATACTATAAATAAAACAGTTCTTTCATTTCCTCACCCATCCCACCTGCAAAACAAGATAATGGATAACAAATCCAAATATAAAGAATAATTCAAAATTAATGAATTTTGGAATCTCAATCAAGTACAAAGTTGTGATATGATAAAATTATCAAAATATAAATATAAAGGGCTACTTTCTACTCCATTAACTGCAATGGTTTCCAGCTCTGTAGGTTGAGAAATATTTACTATGTTCTCCAATCTTCAAAGTTATTGATGTTTGGTTGTTATTCACAGAGCAAAAGTAAAACAAAACACAACAAAAACAAAACTCTAATTTCACAGAACTGCAGTGTAAGATCAAGCTAAGAATAGAATGAAACACTTTTACAGCTAAATAAAAGGCATATCAATTTCATTTTAATGACTTCCTTTTAGTAATTTTATAGAAGTTCCTTATTTGTTCAGCATTATTGTATTTATTATTCTTCATTAAAATCATTACATTTTAGGGAAACAGAAATTATGATATGCCAAGTCTCTAAAGTAGATTTTTAAAAAGTCTGAAAAGAGCAAAGCAGTAATTAAAATATAAACAAGAAAAATTTTTAATATTGGAAAAAAAACTTGAAATACTGTACCTTATATTCCTTTTTCCATGCTTCAAAAAGGTCCATTGAAGTACTTCCTTCATCAATGAATTCAACATCAAATCTGTGTGACTTTGCAAATGATAGCAATGCTTTCATAGATCGCTCTGTCTCACTTATTGCCCACAGACCCCGGCTAGTGGTGGGTATTCGATCATCCACCAATCCTTCTTCATCTTCTATCATCTCCTCAAATATTGCAGTCTGGCCTTTGACTCTGAAAACATATGAGAGCAAAACAACAGTAACTACTGTCAGTGGGTTAACAAGCATTGTAAAAGTCCTATTGGCAGAGCCAAGAGAGAAGCAAGGTCAATAACTTTCCATCAACAACCTTCAATATCATGTCTACAAGATCACGCTTGCAAGTCTTTGGAAAACTACAGTAATTCTAAAAATGCTGGAGGCATTATAAATTTGTCCATTATCTTGACAGAAATCTGACATAATAAAAAATGGCTATATATTTTTACGCTAAAATCTAGCTCTGAGAATTACCATAATACAAAACACAAACTACCACCACCACCAACCATGCAAATTAGATGATCTCAAAGTACACTGTCAATCTCCTTTTTTTCAAGGCAATCAGAACTTCGCCTTTTTTCAATTTGTTTGTAAAATAGGAGTAATTTTGCTAATACCACAACCATTATGCACTCCTTGACACAGGATGAGAACTTCCAATTTGTGTTGGAGAAAGTATATTAATAATGAAAGCTAACCTTTTACAGAACTCTTACTATGTATCACGCACTATGCTAAGCAATTATGTGCATTTTAAAATCTAATATTCATAAAAAACTCAATGAGGTAAGTGTTGTTTTATTTTCATTTCACGAATGAGGATAATGAGGCTTAACAGAAGCAATCGCCCACAATAGTGGGCAGGGATTTGAGTTGAAATGTGTTGGACTTGAAAGTCTGTCACTCCCCTAAACTGTCCCTTCATAACACATTACTAGATGACACGAGCATTTGGGGGTAACTTTTGTATAAGTGAAACTGGAACATGTTAAATGATCACATGCCAAAGTTCACTGAATTGATGTAATTAAAAAAACACAGGAAGGTTACTGTGAGGAAAATACATAGTCTTATAAATCAAAACACCAAGTTTTGTAAACATTTCATTCTCCTGATGGTAATCAATCAGAGAACTCACGTGTGGGAAAACAGCTTTGATTCATACTCTGTGAACAATTCATCAGCCTTACAAAAGACACAGCTGAAAAGGAAAGAAATGATCAGAGAAATATTTACAGACATAACTACCAATCAGGTTATTTCTAAAAGAGGCTTAGTATTTTATACTTCACTTTTTCTTTATAACACATATGCCATTTAAGAAAAAAAAATACATAGTTTTCAGTATGTGGTCCTTGAGAGTTTTTTAAAAGTTAGATTAATAATATATTTCTTTCCACTTCTGTGAGAATTTAAATGAAAAAACTTTTATTAGATGAGTCACTGTTTCCTCTCTCAGAAGAAATCTAGCTGAATGGAATGACTCAATTTCATTGCATGACTTCTCCTATTACCTACCAGTTGAGAGGAAGTCTGGTTGGTCGGAGGTGGCAGATTGTTGCCGATTCAATAACATTACGAGATGGAGGTCCCTCCAGGTTTTTTACAGCCTCTCTTACTAGCTTCTGGAATTTATTTAGCTCTTCCATTTGTGTAGTAAGTAAGAACTGAAGACCTCTGCAGTCATGGAACCTAATTCCCATCACCAGCATCACACACAGCACAAAGAAAAGAAGAGTAGGTCAATTTTCTCAAATTCAGAAAATGGTTGCCAAATAAAATATTCAAGAAAATGTGCAACAATTTTACCTAGCCTACCTTGAGTGAATTTACCTTAGTAGTATGATCAATATACTAGTAGACAATGTATAATAACATCGGGTTATTTACTATAAAAGATATCAAAATTTTGATAGTCTGTCCCTAGGAACTGAAACAGAGTCTGCAGAATCTGTCTCTGTCTCAGATGTCTTTGAAAGAACAAGACTGCCACATTCTTTCTTTTTTAATGCTGACTGACTACAAATGTCCCTCCTGAAATCCTTGCTTTATATGGAGAGGTGACTGCAGAATGAAAAATAAAGAGAAAAATTGAGAAGAAAGAAGAAAAATAGCCGAGAGTTATATTGCTTGCTGCAAAGAGTTTATAAATACATACATACATATATATGATGATGTGTGTACATGTATACTATTACATATATTTTATAATACATGTATTATTTAGATGTATATACATTTTATTAAGCATTTATTTTACAATGCCAGGCACTTTGCCAAGCTCTTTTCCTGTATTATCTCAACAGATACTATTGTGCTCATGTTATGGATGAAGCTTAATGAATTAAAATAATTTAAGTTACAAAGCTATCATGTAGCAGAGTTAGGAGTTAAATCCAACCACAATACCCCTTTTTTTTTTTTTTAAAGATTTTGTTTATTTATTTGACAGAAAGAGAGAGCACACAAGCATGGCAGGTGGCAGGCAGAGGGAGAGGGAGAAGCAGCTTCCCTGCTGAGAGAGGAGCCAGATGTGGGGCTTGATCTTAGGACCCTGGGATCATGACCTGAACCGAAGGCAGATGCTTAACCGACTGAGCCACTCAGACGCCTCTCAAACACAATACTCTTAACTCTTTTAATAAACTGAATGAAATGTGCCAAGGAAAGACATGTATGGGTGTACATGAATGGGTTTATGAAATGAGAAAGAAAACCTAAGACTAATAAGAAATTAGAAAATGGAAAATACAAACAGGAGTTATTGGCTTCTCCTTCCTAAAATGCCATACATTCATTTCTCCAAATTGTTCAAAAGAGTTCACTCCTTCCTGAAGGCTTCCCAGTATTTTACAACACAATCTGTTTCTTTCTGTCCGTAGAGTTCATTGAAAATATTATTCATTTTAGTACTTTGTCATGCTCAAGTGTTTATACATACTCCTATTTCTCAGATTGTTCATGGGTTTGTCTACTCATTAAGCTAATTTTTATTTTATTTTGTTTTTTAAAGATTTTATTTATTTGTCTGACATAGAGAGAGAAACAGCTAGAGAGGGAACACAAGCAGGGGGAGTCGGAGAGGGAGAAGCAGGCTTCCCACTGAGCAGGGAGCCCGATGCAGGGCTCGATCCCAGGACCCCAGGATCATGACCCGAGCCAAAGGCAGATGCTTAACAACTGAGCCACCCAGGCACCCCTCATTAAGCTAATTTTTAGAAGGTAAGAATTAGATCATATCTTTAAAAAAATATGTAATAGAATAGCTGCTCAATAATTTCTAAAAGAATTTGTATGGGGATACAAGAACACAGGTTAGGTATCAATATTATTCACATCAGTATTATTCAGTATTATTCGCAAATTATGCAACAGGGGCTAAAAAAATTATCATAATAGAGTATTTAACCGTCTTAGCAATATTCTCTCTTGCAGGTCCTTTAAGTGAAAAAGAAGAATATATAATTACATGTTAGTGGTAGGCACGAAATGGTAGACACTATTTTAAGTACATAAGCACTTTGCAGATATTAATTTACTAATCCTCACAACAATGCTGTGTGGTTTTATAGATGAGGAAACTAAGGCACAGAGAGCTTATCTAACTTTCCCAAGGTCACAGAACTAGTAAGTGGTGGAGCTGGGATATGAACGAGCACAGGCAGTCTGACTCAAGAATCTACCTGTGCTCTTAATGTAAGGAAAACTAAGGTTTTCCTTTCCTAAGAATTGGTAAGAAGTAAGCATGAATCGTTTGGCTTCTGAAATATGGATCTCACTGAAAAACAAAGAGGCACATTAAAATGATCTTTGAAAGTATATGCAATACAAAAAATATTAACTCTCCCAGATGGTAAGTTAAACATTTAAAAAAAATTTTATTTTAGAACTGTTTGTTACTTTCTATTTATGTCTAATGTTTCTGAGAAAAATATGTGTAATGAATGGCTTGTTTTACATTACCTGTTGGTCCTTTAATAGCCCTGGGACCTCAAGACTATTACTAGGGACTATGTTCTCATATATAGGAATTTGCAACTTTTAAGTAGTTTCTATGTGATTTAAGAAAAACAACTTCAAAATAACTTTAAGATTTTCTTTTTGGCTGATACCACAATGCTGGCAGAACACATTAGTACATAACTTTAAAACTGGATAAAATGAATCATGACTTAAATGACAACTTATCCTGGAATGGTGACTCTTGGGTTAAATAGAGAAAAAGGAAGTGCACTCAGGAGTCTAATGTACTGCATATACCTCAGAAATGAAGCCTGTCAAGCTCTGTATGGTGAAAAAGATGATGATTGTACATCTAAATTAGTAATGACACATGGAAAATGTAGCACATCTCTTTAGGGTTTTAGCAGACATCTGGAAAGGCTTTAAAAGAGTAAAACGAACACTTTAAAACATTTTAAAGATATTCTTATGCTGAATTTTTCACTGAAAACCAACATTAATCCCAAGGCTGACCTTATACTGGGATGTGATCTGAGAAGCAATAAAAGATCTCTCTCTGTCCCCTACCTAGAATCAATAGTCCTACCACAATTCCTCAAGTCCCCACATTAGACTGACATTCCTTTGGGTTAAATCACTGCAGATACTTTTGATAAAGAGTAAGTTTGGTCTTTGGGAAGAATTATTTACCATTTATACAATAAGAGCAACAATCCAACATACCGACCAAGACCCTGAAGAATGGTGAGTGTTGATGAGAACAAAGAAAGACGGGGGAGACAGCAGGTAACTCTACAACATAAAACCTGGGCCACTGTGGTGCTATGATGCTTAGCTCTTTGAGGGTGATTTACACAGTAGAAGCGTGAATGCCTTACCTCAAGGACAAATTTCTCCAAAACAAAGACTATTTCAAGACTTTGCTTAGAGTTGGCTTCGGCGCGTCCAACAAAGATACAATGAATATACTTTAAGCAGATTAAAAAAACACTAAAAAGGGACTATTTAAAAATGACTAATACACAGAAGAAACACAGGTTTGTTTTTTCAGACTTATAGCTAATATTTGTTTGAAATGTACTCTTAACAATATGTAAAATCCAGATGTTCATAACCATAATATGTTCGGATAGTTAATTGTACCTCTTAACATGAAATGATCTGAATATTTGGGGTCATTACTCATAAAGTTATCCTATTTTGTACTATTTTCTTACTTTTCTGACATAGAAAACTTGCCAATTTGTTGCTTGTAGTTGCTCGTTATTTCATTTCGCACTCGCTGAACAAGTTCCTCATCAATAGCAAATTCTATTGCTCTGTGGATCACATTCAGCCACCAAGGAGAATTAGAATAAATCTGTAAAAAAGACAACAGCTCATCAATTCATGTTTTTTTCAGTGCTCACTATGTTCCTATCACTAGGAAAGGTGCTGTGAAAAAGTCAAAGGAAGCAATAAATGCTAGTCTCAAGGGAATTATAACAGTGGGGAAGACAAGCATACATACTCTATATACAATGGGTGCATACAAGGTTTGCATACATAATTAAAGAGAATACCTGTTTCCTGACTACTGTGGATGACTGAAAATTTACTGTATGTATTTGTGTAACCCAGTTGTGCTAAAAAAATACATTACCAAAATGAAAACTCAGTATTCACTGTATATATTTGAAAAGGTGACAGGTCTCTTTCTCAGCATAATAAAGACATCCTACTAATCTTCAACTAACTGAACTAGATTCTACTCAATAATACTCTATGATTACTAGCAAAATTATATGCCTGAATACTAAATAATTAGTGTATTAGGAAGAATAAAGTGTGGAGTAACTGGTTAAAATAAGAAAGACAATGTGTTTTGTGGTAGCCACCTCTTTAGGCTTGCTACTGATTTCATAAAGAGAAATTTTAGAAATGACAAATGGCATGTATTCCGTAAGAAAAATACCCGTGTTTCTAATGTTCTGACATCCTTAAAAGAAAAGATTTTGGAAACATACATATCTAAGATCAAAAGGAGGTTATGGAAGTCTTTACTTTCTTTTTTTTTTTAAAAGATTTTATTTATTTGACAGAGAGAGACACAGCGAGAGAGGGAACACAAGCAGGGGGAGTGGGAGAGGGAGAAGCAGGC